GCCAGGACCAGTTCAGCTGGGAGGATGTCAAAACCGACAAACAGCGAGAAAACTACCTGGGTAAGAGCCTAAACCCCTCCATCCCCATCCTCCTTGCCCGCCTCAGCACAGTTTTGGGGTGAGAATGGAGGATTTTGGGTGCGAGGAATTATATTTGGTGGGGGGACGACACACAGGGAACTCCCTGATGGCGCCCGTGGGCCGGTGGCAGAAGGGCAAGGACCTGACGTGGTACGCCAAGGGCAAGAAGGATTCGGCTCCCCCGCTGTCCCGTGAGGAAGAGCTGGCCGCCGTCCGCCTGGCCGAGCAGGAGGCCATGATGGCAGCCCTGTGAGTCTGAACCCCCCCCCCAAAAAAATGGGGTGCAAAGCATCACGCCTCCCCTTCCCTCTTCATCACCTTCTTTTGGTCCTTTAGGGGCTACAAGACCGGGAAGCGGCAGCCCACCGGCCTCAGCAAGGAGGTAAGGGGGGACCATGCGCCCCCCCCAGCATCACCCCGTATAAATTTGCCCCCTCCTCTCCATAGTTTTGGGGGACACGCACACCCAGGGTGGTTTTTTCCCCCCTCAGGACCTGGCTGAGGTGTGCAAGCGCGACGGCACCGAGCGGGACGAGAAGGACGTGGACCGGGTGGTGGGCTTGGGCAGCAGCAGGTACTGAGGGGGGGGCCTGTGCCAAAAAGACCCCGATTTCAGGTAAATTTGGGGTTATTTTACCATTTTGATGCGCTTTTTAAAAGTATTTTGGGGTTTTTTTGACTCTCCCCAGCGGCAGCGCTGGCCGGGTGATGCTCTCCAAGGAGGACAAGGAAGCGGCCAAGATGGGGCTCTCCATCTTCACGGTACGGCGCGGGTCACGCCAGGTTTAGTATGTGCCAAAAAGACCCCGATTTCAGGTAAATTTGGGGTTATTTTACCATTTTGATGCGCTTTTTAAAAGTATTTTGGGGTTTTTTTGACTCTCCCCAGCGGCAGCGCTGGCCGGGTGATGCTCTCCAAGGAGGACAAGGAAGCGGCCAAGATGGGGCTCTCCATCTTCACGGTACGGCGCGGGTCACGCCAGGTTTAGTAAGAAACAAGACCAAAAAAGGCAAAAAAAGGTGGAAAAAGGCAAAAAAGCCCTGTCCTGCAATCGGGGTGTTTAATTTCCAATAAAAAATAAAGCTGGGGTTGGAGCGCAGGGACCTGCAGGAGCTGGAGCTGCCCGTGTCCTGTTTGCGCAGAGTTAACCTGGAGGGGTTTGAATTTGGGAGCAGCTCTTATGGGTACTTGAATTTATTTTCCCTCAAAATTTAATTAAACTTTAATTTTTTCCAAAGTGAATTTAATTGTCATTTATTTTTTTCCAAAGGGAATTTAATTTTTATTTATTTTTTCCAAATTTAAGTTGCTTTTATTTATATTTTTCCAAATTTAATTTATTTTTTCCAAATGGAATTTAATTTTTATTTTTCCAAAATTTAATTTGCTTGCATTTATTTTTTCCAAATTTAATTTTTATTTATTTTTTCCAAGTGGAATTTAATTTTTATTTCTCTTTTTTCCAAATTTAAGTTGCTTTTCGTTATTTTTTTCCAAATTTAATTTGCTGTCATTTATTTTTTCCCAAATTTAATTTAATTTTTATTTTTTTCCAATTGAATTTTTAATTTAAATTTAATATTTTTCCCCCCAAATTTTAATTTTAAAAGGAAAAAGTCCCTTTTTGTTGTAATTCCAAGCCCTGAGCTCACCAATTCACTCCTTATTTCCCCTCCTTTTCAAACCCTAGCACCAAAAAGTCTCCAGCAGCCCCGAGACCTCTGGCTCCAAGAAGAAACAGGAGAAGGAGGAGAAGGTGGAAGAGAAACGGTGAGGACGGGGACCACCTCTTTGGTGGAAAATGGCTTTTTTGGGGGAAAAATACTTTGCAAAATGCATTCTCTGGCTGCATTTGGCATCGGGGTTGTTCTGCATCTCCCCAGATCCTCTGCTTTGCCCCCAAGAAGCTCTTTATTGTTGATGAAGGAGGCTCCTCCTTGGTGAAGGATGCGGTGGGATGCCCATGAGGGAGGGATGGGGATGAGGTTTTGGAGGAGCTGTTGGGATGGGTCTCTTCCCTGCAGGCCGGAAAGCATCAAAAAATCCAAAAAGGAGAAAAAGAAGAAGAAAAAGAAGAAGCACAAGAAGGAGAAGAAGAAGGAGAAGCATCACAAGAAGGACGCCGCTCTGTCGTCTTCCGATTCTTCTTCGGATCGGGATGAGAGGTAGCGGGGTTGGGATGGGGGCTGGAAAATGGGATGAAGGATTTTGGAGAGCCCCATGGTGATGGTTGACATCAGGGTGACCATGAGCCAGCAATGTGCCCTTGCAGCCAAGAAGGCCAATGCCATCCTGGGATGTATGAGAAGGGGTGGTTGTAGGGCAGAGAGGTTCTCCTGCCCCTCTGCTCTGCCCTGCTCACACCACATCTGCAATATTGTGTCCAGTTCTGGGCCCCTCAGTTCAAGAAGGACAGGAACTGCTTGAAGGAGTCCAGCAGAGCCACAAAGATGCTGGAGGGAGTGGAGCATCTCC